AGGCCTAGGTATTTACTAGCCCTATAGAACAGTTTGAAATTGACCAATTCAAGATGTCAGTTGCGTGTTTCCCCTCATATCGAGTCCAAGTTTAAAATCTGGAAGAAGAATTATAATTCTCTATTTACTATAATGTCAACTTCAGGTTTTGGGTTTGATAGTACTGAGAATAAGATACTTGTTGATGGTGACGATATTTGGCAAGACTAATTGAAGGTGATACACGAAAACCACACTTTTTTTATTACTTTACATTTTAATACATATGATATACGAAAGTACATTTTAACAACATTATCATATATTGTCGTCATATGGTGTAGAAGGACCGAAATGCAAAAAGTATGTGAGATAAGTCGTGGCCTTACTTTAATGACTAGGGAATTATATTTGGCAAGAATTGGCCAACTGGGGAGTACATTATCGATGTTGAAGACATGATTGGCAATGTCGAGGCCAGAGCATCAATGAGGGAAAATGAGACCATGGAAACACAAAATCCATTAGAAAGGAATGTCCCAGCGTCAAGTAATGCAACACATAGAGGTGATCAACCACCTACAATGGAACCAAGTGTTGCCTCCTCATGTCCACATAAGAAAAAAAAAAAGCTAAGGTGAGTGATAATGCATCTCACTCTGTTGCAAATAGTTTGGGAAACATCTTCAAGGTCTTTGGTGAATATGTTCAAGAGAGTCGTAAGTAGCTCGACATTATAACACATCGAGTTGGATACATGCATGATGTTGCAGATGCACGAAGGAGAGTGAATGCGGAACTTGACAAGATCAATGGTATATCTATGATTGATTGACATGCTACACTTTTTAAGATTTGTTCTAACCTAGTAAAGTTCGACATCTTCTTTAGTTTGTCCGATTACGAGCGTCCTGCATGGGTTGGTGGACTATAGTGGCAGGCACCACAACTTTGATCAACATAAATGGATAATGTTTGACACAACCACCATCTTAAATCCATTTCGGTGAGAATTTGGAGATTTTTTTGAAGGTAAAGGTAACCTTATATGTGGTGACAGTGGGAGTACATTAACACTTGCTATCGACTTTAGAGATGTTGAAATATATTTTGTTGGGATGTTTTTGGTGTGTATGTAACCAATGTAATGTCAGATATGAGCTAATTGGTACGACTATGTGTTTGTTTCTGATATATTCTATGCATATTGTGTAGAACTAACTTTTGTTTATTTTAAGAAATGTAATTAGTAATTGGATGGCACGTTGTTAATATGGCCTAAATTGCATTCAAGTGCAATAATGAATCAAGGTATTATGAGTAACAACATGCATTTTGTGTACTTAGATATGAACAGGAAGTAACGTTGGTACGTAACATTTGTTGGACGATAGGTTAGTATTTACGAGTCATGAGTGGAATGTCATACGCATGTAAACAGGTATCTAGGTGCTTTATACAAATCTTATGATTCGTATGCTAAGATAAAAACAACATTGGCATTGCACACTGCGCGGCATGAAGTTGATGTACCAAATGCGATGGCTTTCTGTCCGCCTGCACCTATGGAGAATGTAATTGACGATAGTGTTGTGAACAAAGATGAAGTACATGTTCGTCTAATTGGAACAAATGCATACAACCGTGATCTCATTTGGTGCATGATAAACGTAGTCATGCTTATTGTGGATATCATACTCACCCATATTGTGTACTCTGTAATGAAAAATCGTGGTTTAGTTTAAGTTGTTACCATAATAACAAACATCTTTTTTGAATGGTTAGATGTTATGTAATGACTTGTGTACATGTACTATACAAACATTAGTATCTTATGCATTTTGGTGAATATGGATAGTAGTAAGTTGATATTGTCCGTACATATAACTATTATATATTTGTAATGGTTAATGCGCATAAAATGTTATATATTTGTAATGACTTGTGTACATGTACGTATGATCTCAATTAATATGTAAATTATATGTTTGTAGTTGTAAATGAAGATCCCCCTGATTATGGAGGATGAATCGGAAATCTTTATTGACACATTAATAGAATTCAAGAAAAAAGGAAAATTACATCAGTTGGGTTGTTACACCCACAAGGTGAGAATGATCTGTTGCGCGTCATTAAACGACGCTCACAAGGGTTTGCATTGTCTTTTATTGAACTTATGCGAATCATTTTTTCCTGAGAAATACAGTTCTTTACTATTTCGACAATGCTGGATTCTAACAATTTTTTATGGGACCCATTAAAGATGTCGTCAAAGGTTCGGAAAAAAAAAAGCTTATGAGTATTTGGAAGTAAGTTACTTCATGGTTTGAACTTTTCCGTACATTATTTTCAATTAATGGAAAACATGTTTTTTTTTTGCGTCCATTAACACATAGTTGTATGTTATTAATTGTAGAAAGATTTTTTTGCTGCACAATATTGTCTTGCACCGTGCTCGAATTTTAAATATTTCGGTGTTATCTTCAAGAAAGATGAAGCGAGTTCAAGCCATCCTAGCAGTGATAGTATTGGGTCTTCACCATCAGTTAACTCTACCTATGAAATTGATGTCATAGTGATCGATAATTGACTGTTTCTATCGATCGCTCTATCCTCACTTGTAATGCTAACTTAGAATATTTGTATGCATTAAAATATGTGTATCTAGCATGTGGTAAATATGTTGAGCCATTTTTTTATGCAACACACAATTGCGTGTGTGCATGTAGCTTCACGGTTCTTACCTAATATTGTTGTCTTCGTTTTGTACGTATAGTTGAAGGCAACAAGGAATATAAATATATCAATTACGTGCAATTACTTAGGACGATGCCTTACTTTTGCCCCTTCTGTAGTATAAGACTACTTGTGATAATAAAATATGTTTAGGTAGATATCGATTTGTGTATATCGTTGTTTTTGTCTTTTTCTTTGAAACAATGTGGAACAATGTTATGAGCAAATTAATGTGATCACATTCGTAAACTATTGCAAAAATTAAAACCAAATTATGTTTGATCTTTCCACTTAGTGACATAGCAGAAAATTGGAATGAAATATAAAGGTAAACAACATAAATATAATTGCAAACCCAACATTGACTTTATTGGATATAGGAGTGAAGTGTAAAATTATAATTTAATGTGAAAGTAAAGAGATTTGATCCAAAAAAACAAAGATTTTTCTATGGACCCCATAATATACCAAATTTATTCTCAAATCAAGTACAGGATTACACAACTTCATTAATATCTGGGTTAATCTCATTTTACACCCCGAAAGATAGTTCGAATCTCAATTTGTACTCTCAAAGAGCAAAAATCTCAATTTGCACCCTCAAAGATAGAAATTTGTATCAATGTGCACCCCCAAAGATCAAAAATCTTAATTTGCACCCTCAAAGATAGAAATTTGTATCAATGTGCACCCCCAAAGATCAAAAATCTCAATTTACACCCTCAAAGATAGAAATTTATATCAATGTGCACCCCAAAGATAAAAAATCTCAATTTGCACTCTCAAATATAGAAATTTGTATCATTATGCATCTAAAACTAAATTGATAAATTATACCTAGATCTCCTCATGTTTGTCACTTAATCATTTGGACCTCTTTACATTTAGAATATTACTCCTACATCTCATGACATTTATGCACGTACAACATGTAACTCATTTTCATTGATATCTATTAATATAACCGTTAAAAAATATAATTTTATCCTAATAAAAAATTATAATTTCATATTACCCTTATTTTATGGGTTCAATATACTCTAAAGTTCAAAATCAAACTTACCATTTGAATGTCTAATAGAATGTAGATATTTATAAAAAGGAAAATATGAAAAACATTATATAAATATCTACATTTTATTAGACATTCAAATGGTAAGCTTGATTTTGAACTTTAGAGTATATTGAAGGTAATATGAAATTATAATTTTTTATTATGATAAAATCATATTTTTTAACGATTATGTTAATAGATATCAACGAAAAGTGGTTATGTTTACACATGTACAAATGTCATGAGATGTAGGGATAATATTCTAAATGTGAAGGGGTTCAAATGATTAAGTGACAAACATGAGAGGATCTAGGTATAATTTATCAATTTAATTTTAGGTGCACATTGATACAGATTTCTATCTTTGAGAGTACAAATTGAAATTTTTGATCTTTAGGAGTGTACATTGATACAAATTTCTATCTTTGAGGGTACAAATTGAGATTTTTAATCTTTGGAGGTGTAAATTGAAATTCGAACGATCTTTCGGGGTGTAAAATGAGATTAACCCTTAACATCCTATCTATGTCCGAGGTATTGGGTTTTTATTAGAAAGGTTTGAATTAAAAAGCCAAACCAATCCTATACCCTAAAGATTTGTCAAACAGCCCCTTAGGGTTCAGTGTTTCATGCTTAATAATGCCTTTTACTCTGTCTAATTACTCAGGAAAAAGATTTCAAAACCTAAAGCAATATGCAAAGTCGGAAGATTGGGGCCCTGCTTTTTCCTGATCATATTCACTTTTCATGTCTTTTGTACGCAATCTACTATAAAAGAGAGAGAAGGTTAAAGGGACCTCACCATTTTCATTCATTAGCCATTAAATTGAGAATAAACTTCTTTTAATGATAGAATCGGCTATTAATCCAATAATCACTGTGTAATCTTTTGATACCGCAATAGCACCTCGTCCCGTCCAGAACAATATATACTGCTGTTAAAATTCTAAATCTCTAGTTGATGTGAAAAGATACTGACAATTCAAAGAGTAGAAACCTCCAATTCTAATGAAAATGGAAAGGAGCCTAACTACATATTAAAGTGTTACCAAGTTCTTTGCAAGAAGATTTTTACCTTATGGGTGCCAAGATCTGCCCACAAGAGTAGGTGTGAGCTTGAAATACAGGTTTTCAAACCCAGAAAGATTTAAAGTTTTCGGCTGCAGATGCAGTACAAACCATATGCATTACTCTGTACAAAGCTAGTGTGCGTTGTAATAGCATAAACTCTCTAAAAGCCTGTTGATTCCCTGGAAGTCCATCGCTCTTCATACCTTCCAAATGAGTAGACTGTGGTGGGAATCCCTGTTAAGTGGAGAGGATCTGGTTCGATCCCATAATCTGTTAGTGGCCTGTGCTCCAAGATATCATCATGATTTTGAACAAATTCAGGGATCTCAATATCTCCTTTCTTTATATCTTCCCAAAGGTACTGCAAACGGCTTACATACTTGATTTTCCAATATAAGCTGCAACAACAAAGGAAAATTAGTGAGCACAAACACAGCATTGTAGTCTTCGGATTGATAATGACAAATTCAGAAATTCAGTATTAGTAGTTTGAAACATTACAAATTTGCAGAAATGGGAAAAGTTCAAGCTGGATGATGGAGGAAAGAGATGAAAATGCAAACTCAAAATTAAATGGAATTATCGAGGTAATGCAATTGGAAATAATTTAGCAACATATGGAATAGCTGTGGATTGCAGAAACATAAGCAGAAGGATGTATTCATGGACTTAATTAGCATGAAGGAAACATGTACACAAATATAATACCAGAATGATTTCATATAGCCCATTGGGTTACATGCATACATATGCTCTGGTTTTACTTCTTTTCCAATACTTGAAGTAATCATTTCCAAAATAATACAAACACAGATTAAAAATTCAGATGAGTTTCTAAACACTAGATGCAGCATATATTATGATTAGAACTTTTAATCATGATGAACCAAGCTAACAACACAACTCACCCTCCGCTTAGAAGCAATCGTCCAAGAGTTGCAAATACAAGCCTTGAGCGAAGGCCAGGATGAATAAAGTACACAATCTGAAGCCTGTCCTTATAATCGGAGGGAAGATCTTCATAGATCCACCTCAAGATGGTCATGCCAGGGGAGTTGTCTTCCTTCTGCACCGTACTATGCATGTACACAATGCAGAATGGCCCTTCTGGCATCTCAGTGGAAATTTTGTGGAAGACATACCTTTTAAGCCGTTCTGCGCTTATAACTGGGGCTGAACATCATTGATTGAACAAGCACATTAAAAAGTGCAATAATTAGTCCAGAAAGGAATTTATTGTAAAAGAAACAAAGAAAGAGGCTTGGAACCAACAATGAAATGTGAAATTAGAGAATCAAAAAATGTTTAAACCAATTGTTCCATTAGAACACCATTGTATCTTGTTTCCCATAGAATGCACAAGCACAAAAGGACTAAAGAATCAGCAAGGTAAAAATAGGTATGTTCTTCTTCGGGTTGGGTTTCAACATAATAAAAGGATATTACTAGTGATTTGTTAAAATTCTAATTTCCCCAGCAGGAAAAAAAAATTGGTTCATCGGCTAATTAGATCAGAACTTATCATGAGACAGAGCTTGTTCAATCACTTGTTGACGACTGATGGATGACGATGATCAATCGATATCTATCTTGCTCAAACAGTGATTGATAGGGAGATTAACTCAAAAACTGGCAGCCAACTTGTGTACACTTTCGTGCAAATATTCGATTAATGCTTGGAGTGAATCAACCCTATCACTCTATTAAAAAAAAATCAAGCCTACCATGCAGAATATTTTATTCTCAAATAAAGCCACTACTTTCGCATTTAGTCTGGCTTTGGAGACCATTTTGATTTGAGGAACTGAGAAAAAGTAAAAAATTTAGGGCTAAATTGCAATTTCAAATTTAGAGATAAATAAAGCCACTACTTTCTCTACTGCACGACGCGCTGGGTGTAGACTTACTTGGTATGGTTCACTAGTTTGGATTTCGATTCATTTTAGAACTCTTATCCAAATCATTTCTTACCAATATAAGGAATTAATTATAATTATACTCAAAATAAGGTGCCAGCAATGGTACGTGTATACTCATACTACGAAAACAACTCAAATATATCAAAATATAAATATAAAATCAGTTGAAATAAGGCTAGAGTTGTTTGACTTTTGTACCCTTGCATTGTTTTTCATCTGCTACTTTAATATACTCTATGGGGGCATTTTTGACTTGTCAACCAAAGGTTTTTTGTCCATGGTTGTAAGGATTTCGCGTTGTACTCCTTACCAAACACCAGTACTTTCTCTTTCTCTCAGAAAAGACCAAGATTTTTATGCTACACAATGCTTCCATTGTTACCCATTCCAAAAACAAAACCCTACTGAGGAAACCAAAAATCTTCTCTGCAATGTAGACATGCTCAAGAATCTTTTCTCTCTCGAAGCCTGAGAGTCTGAGACCATAAAACATATTCGACCCTATGAGTAAGAGAATGAGAACACAACCTATTCGAAGCTTGTTTCGAAGTGCTTCGTTCAACTGTTCCAGTATGTAACTTCATGATTCCTGTATTTCTCCTCTTATGCAAATTTTATTTCTTATTTCTACTTGATTCCTATATTTCTCCTCTTATGCAAATTTTACTGCTTATTTCTACTTTTTTTCTTTCTTCCCTCTTTTGCTATCTATTCTATGCTTTTGTACGGCTTTGGAATAATTTGATTAAAGTTTGATTTTGGGGGTAGGTTTTGCTTTGGCGTAGGGTTTTTTGGTTTAGGGTTAATCGTGGTTAGTATTCTTAGCAATCCAAATGTGAATGTACCCTGTTTGAGGTCGTGCGACCAAGATCGGGGGTCACATGGTGATGAGTTAATTTACGTAACACTTGTAGCCCTAGTTCTTTAACGCGAACTATAATAGCGCAACATGCAGTCAACAACAATCAAGGTTAAGGACAATAAAATCTCCAAAGTTAAACAACAACACCAATGGCAATCGCCTCTGATTTTGAAAAGATTGATGATCCCAACAAAATGAAGACAACTATGATCATGGCAACAATACAAAGTTTCAGGCCCAAATTCCTTTTTTGCTCTTGCGACTAGTTCAAAGTTTCTAGACAGCTTTTTTTTTTTAACCAATAGCTGCAACTACTTGCCAAATTAATTTTTGACACTGACAATTATTGCTAACCGGGAACAATGGTGTAGAACCAATGTGGTTACTTGAATGGCGACTATAACAAGAGAATATGAGATTACTGCATGATGTATTAAAGTGAGAGATTGGTTCTGAGAGCATAGCCTAAGCTACGATGGATCGATGTGAAGCTTAATACCACTTGATGTAGAAGGGGAAGGAAAATAAAGAAGAGAAAGAGATTATCGAATCCTCGCAAAAATTAGGTCAAGAAACACAAAAATCTCCAAAAAGAACACTTAATTTCAACTCATAACCTGATGCAAAATAATGACGATTACATCTTTATTTATAAACCAAGTGTCCAACCAAAATAAAAACTATATCCTATTAAATCTCTATCTAAACCTCCTAATGAGTTTAATTATTAGCTAACAACCTAATCAACTAAATAATAAAAATAAATAAATCTTAATCTTCAATTTATGTTTATCCAATTCCTTTTTGATCCCCATTAGAACATCTTGATTGAATGATTTCTAGTAGCAACAAATGCAAGAGAAAAGAGAATATGTACACTTGCGCACCAACTATAGCATGTTATAGTAGTTGTGCAGAAGTTAATAGGTTACTGCTGCATCTAGTGCAAGACAGCAGGTAAGCTTTCATGAACCCTATTTTTTCACTTTGATAAATCACAGCAAGAATCTGTTACTTAATCTATCATCTATCTTTCTGAGATGTATCTATGCTCTAAAGAATAAACCCTAGTTCATAGGTTGAGCAAATAAATAAAACTTATATTGAAATAAACTTGAATGAAGAACTTTGTATTTAAAATAAGGAATTGAAAGCAATTACAATAAAAGAAATAAAACACCATTAATAAAGAAGAACCTTGCTTGCAAACTAAAACTAAATTAAGAACGAAGGAGGAGTATTCCCCTCCTTGGAGAACATCTAAGGAGGAAAAACTTGTCTCTCTAAAGCCCCCAAGGGTGGGTATTAATGGGAAAAAGGGGAGAGAGATAGAAATACAATTGATTTTCTAGAGATCATCTCTCCTTTTATGTCTAACTCTTATTCCTAAAATGATGGAACTTTCAGTACCATATCTTTCCTAGATTATTCAATAAATATATCTTATCTCATTAGGAAGATTAATATAGTTTGACCTCAATTCCTCATGGCATATCATTTAAATTATCAAGAAAACAAGAGAGTCGCTCAGATACAACTTTTAATACAATATAAATCCATGCCCATAACAATTACTTCATTAGAAACAAAACCAAGACTCATATGCATATAACTAAGTAAATTTAAAACAGCATAATACCATTTCGCATAAACCACTACATTACAAACATAATCAAGACCCACACAAAAATATAGGTACAAATATGAGGGCTCGTGCATGCGTGTGCGAGAGCCTGTTGGTCCCTTCATAAATGCATAGAACATCTTAAACCCACTAAACTCTGGCGCCCAACTGATTCAAAGCAGCTCAAACTTTGAGCTAAACATAGCTATTAGTCATTGCCCCTAATAACCCCTAAAAACGATTAAATTATTTAAACTCAGACGCAAATTGTGTTGAAAAGCTCAAACTTGGAACTAAATGTAGTAATAAAATGCTTGAAACAACTAAACCCAGATGACAGATATATCAACAGCTCTTGAGTAAAGACAGCTAAGAACTGGAAAACCCACCAAGAATTCACCACTATAATCGAACAAAAACACACAACTCAGACATATTAAGTATTTGTGACTGGCTCCATGTATCTAGAGAGAGAAATTGAGAGTAAATTTACCCGGGAAATATTTCCCAACGATGCGGAAGATGCGATTGCCGGATCTGTCACTGCCACTTTCGAGGCGGAAGAATTGCAAGGTGTCGAGATCTGAGAAGTCTTCGCCGGAAATGAGAGAGTCAGCGCAGTCATGCCAGTTCTCTTCCTCTCGGTCTGCTGGTGACAAGAAGGATCGAGCGTCTACGCCTAGATCTGACGCCAATACCACCACCGAGAAATCGTCCGAGGATCCCATTCCCTGTGTGTGTTTTCTCTCTCTGCGGTATTCGTGGAATATGATGTTGGACTTATCGGGCAGAAACGAAGAGCCACCGGATAGTAGCGTGCGGTAGAAAAGAAAGAAGTGAAACAGGCCGCCCCGGCCCATTAGTATCATCAGTAATAAATACACTAATAGAGGCCGGAGGCCGGTACCTCTCAAAAAGTTTAATACGATAAAAGTATGCTTTTAAAATAATTGGGATAGAAATACATATGTTAAAAAAAGTCATAAAAATCCTTTTATCCTTACCATATATAGTGCATAATTAATTAAATGTGAAACTTTTAAGATTAGAATATGAAATTTTCAAAATTCTTTTTGATATTTGTGTACCATTTGAATTTTGAAATTTCATATATATATATATATATATATATATATATATATATATATATATATATATATATATATATATATACACACACACACACGTAATACAGTGACATGCTCAATAAAAAAAGAGTGATATCAAACAATAACACACTCAACAAAAAAATAGTAATATCAAACAGTGACATACTCAACAAAAAAAATAATAACATCAAACAGTAACACAAATATTTTTGTTGAGTATGTCACTGTTTAATGTTACTATTTTTTTGTTGAGTATACCACTGTTTGATGTTACTATTTTTTTGTTGAGTGTGTCACTGTTTGATATCACTGTATTACGTGTGTATATGTGTTTATATGTGTGTGTGTGTGTATATATATATATATATATATATATGAAGTTTCAAAATTCAAATGATACACAAATATCAAAAGAAATCTTGAAAGTCTCACATTCAAGTAGGTATGTACTATTTATGATAGGGGTAATTATGGAATACATTTTAGAAAGAATTTAAAAATATTTTAAAATGTGTATTTATTGACAACTATTTGATGAAAAAAAGGATTTAAAGGAGGATAAGTTTAGAAATAGTATTTAAAGCCAAATAAGTTTTAGAAAAAATACTCACATCTCATTATCTCTAAATAATAAAGTCTCAACTTTAAACCCCACTTATAAAAAAAAAACCTTAAATTTAACAAGGTCAAGAACTAGGCTAGATTTCAACGAAAACGCACGGGTAGCGCAGATATAAGAGTTCATTTGTTTAGCAAAAAAATAATAAAAAATACAAGAGAAAGTTTTTAAAAATTTTTATTAGCACGAAATAAAAAATGACAAAAAAAGTAATTTCTTTCTGTAAAAGTAATTTCTTCCTGTACTTGAATTTTTTCACAACTATCTAACTTTTTTTTTTCTTGTAAAAAACAAAGAAAATGTAAGAACATTATGATCTATAACTAATTTTCAATTTTATCCTTATTTTTAAAAAATATTTTACTGATTATTAATTTTAAAATTTTTTAGTATGAATTTAATTAATCATATAATTTAATTCAAAGACTTTCCTAATAATGCTTGTCTTATAATTATGTTTCAAGCCATTTGTTTTCAAAATTTTTTAACTTTCAATTATAATACATATTTTTTTAAATCAATTTAATATAATTAAGGATAATTTCAACAATTATAAAATTTTCTTGTAACTTTTCTTTCTTTCTAATAATAGAATACATTTTTTTAAAACGTTTTCGTAAGTTTTTCATTCTAAGTAAATAGATGCATAAAAATATATTTTCTATCATTTTCTTTTCTTTCATTTCATTTTTTATCATTTTTACTTTCCATTATTTTTTTCCTTCTTATCCAAACAAACCATAAAAGAAAAACCTAGTTTGGGAATGAAGAAAGGTTACGAGGGAAAGAACTTGTTCAAAAAGAGAAGACTTTTTTTTTTAAAAATTAGGCAAATCGCGATATTTGAAATCTGACAGTTGTGTTTGAACACACATTTTATGCGTCAAGACGAAAGATGCAACTTTTACAATTGTAAAACCACGTTCGAACACCCACTTCTTCTGCCCAAACACACTAAACCTTCTAAAAAATGTGGGACATTTTGTCCGGATGCAAAAATAAGTGTTTAGACGCACCATATTTTCTACCAAAACAAGTTTTAGACTCGATGAAAATTTGGCTAAGACCCAAAAACTCAAAAATTGGTACATCAAACTCAAGAACTGTTCCATAATTCTCAATGGTCTGACTAAACTAAAAAATAACTACTAACACTAATTTTTTTTTTCCTTGATCAACCTAAAATTTTAAAGAAATTATGCAGCATGAAATGTGAGACACCCAAATCTAAATATTACATTGTCCTCAATGTATGAAATTCAAAAAACGATTAAAAGATAGGAAGAGAGTCATACCTCATGCTGCATTACGACCTTCAAAAACTGAAAAAAAAAAAAAAAAGACTAAATTTACTAAACAACAACTTGAGTTAACTTTTGTATTAAATAAATTGTCGATCTATCAACTCAATAGATTTCACTTCTATCATTTTGACAATAAACAGTCCCGTCTATCTAGATCAAAACTTACCTAAAAACAAATGCATTCTAGAATTTTACAAAAAAAGAAAAATTTTGTGAAGGTTCAAAAGATTTTCTCAAAATACTTTCATCATGAAAGACCTTTATTCGTTCTTTGCAAATCCGAGAGTTCTCATAAGCTTTGTTTTGGATCTCTTCATACGTGATCTTGTTGTCAACAACATACTTCGTGGCATTTATCAAAACTAATCCTGGTTCCACCGATTAGTTTACGGGGACTAAGCTTAAACTCCTATGTTATCTTATTCTCTCGTGTAGGAGACTAGGATTGCTATTATCTTTCTTCTTTAGTATGAGCATCATCTGTCAATTCAAATTATTATATGTACACTCTGAATATAAATATAAATACAAACTACTCCACCCACAGTGGGTTAGTCATTCAACCCAATCAGTTCCCAATCTTTCACACTTAACGAAGGTCTTGACCCGTGCACTAATGGGGGGACTCTAGTGAGAGGCTTGATCCTATGACCTTATGAAACTAGTTAACAGTGTTATTATCAACTTGTTTATTTGGGACCCATACGCGATTTGGAAACAAAACTAACATTGACTTAGCAAGTTTAAGTTTTGTCTTACCGACTTTGGGGTGATAAAAGGATGAATTTATTAGACTCATCAAAAATATAGGTCGACACATGATGACTTTCTCTTCTTTTTTTTTCTTCTAATTTACTCTCTCTCTCTCACTTTGGGGGGGGGGGGGGGAGGAGATAATGTTGAACCTCCTTAATTTTGTAAAGAAAAATTGCGTCACTCTGAGTTATTTAATATAATTTTCTTATCAGGTTACAATACTGCAATAGACGACTAGAGTTATTATGTAAATAACTTGATCTCTAAATCACAAAAATATCAATCAAACATCTAGTAAAATTATGGAATACTCATATATCTCCCACACTCCGCTATAGATGAGAATATATATTATTTCATTTGGTACGATCAACCAACGATTAACATAAATATTGGAACTTCAACAAATAAACTAGCCATCTTCTCAGTGATTATTTCTATTCTCCCAGAGAATTCTCAGCTCTTCCCCTAGTTCATCTTTTCTCTCTTTCAAATCCGATATCCTTACCGAAGCATTGTCTATAATCCGTTGTAAGTAGCTTCGATTTGTAGCCATGGGGTCACTTTATAACAGTCGTTCTGCTTCAGCACCAACTTGCTCACAGTTGATCAGTTCTCGGATCACAGCAGCTATCTCTGCCGAAACAGTGTCAATAGTTCTGTTATTAGCCATTGCTGCAACAATCACTTCCTTCTAAGCTTGCTAGATTGTGGCTGTTGCTCCTTTGCATCTTGTACACTGCAGTATAAACACAAATCTTGTTTATAATGAACCATACACAAGAAACCTTGTACTGGTTTTATGTAGGAACTAGTAAGAGAAAAATATTGAACAGTCGTGTATAATACAAAATATAGGATTCAAGCCGGCGTGTTAGGTTTGCTAATTACCCACATTTAATAAACGCCACTAATTATCGACGTTTATTAAACACCACTAATTTTCGGGAGTAAACACCGGCACTATTTTCAGTGGTGGAATAACCGATGTTTAACAGAAACATCGTTAGTATTTATTCCTGGCGTTTACAGTGGCTTTAAACGATGGAGTTCCAAAAAATTCATGTAGTGATTCTACCATTATTGCTAACAATAATGCCACTTAATTGATGCTACACAAAAAAACTCACCAATAGAGAAAAGGAAGACAAGTACTCAAAAATATTTTTGAGAGAGTGACTTGAAATTGAAGTAAACATTGGCTATTTATAGGAATGCCTCGTCTTCCGAATAGCCATGCATATTGGAAAGTTACCAAAAATAAATCAAAGACATGCGTAATGGAATTTAAGAAAATCTTGTAAGAAAGATATTGAACGCTAACAAAAACACATGTCAAATGAAAATTAGGAAAGCCGATATAATTTAGGCAACTCACAATTCTAGAACAAAATATCATTCTAAATCGTTGGTACGATTTAGATCAAAACAGCGCTAGCCCCATTTTATTACTCTGCCACCTTCCAATATGTATCAGAAGATAAAATTTAGACTTGAGATATACCAATTTTTTTCGAAGTTTTTTTTTTTTTTTTTGGGGAGGAGAGAGAGAGAGAGAGAGAGAGAGAGGGAGGGAGATTCGTCAATGGCGATCAGACCTGTTACAAAGGAGTGCCAATTTTCTTTATAGTTTCTAGATTATTAATAACCTTTATACATTAGTAATTATGGATTAACGTGACTATGCCTATTGATTTCCACCTCTTAACAAATACCCTGCAGAATACAAATATTTACTTTATCAACCCCACATAAGAAGAAAGCCAAAAACTGACATCCACAATATATAATGCCACATCAGAAGAATAGGAAACCCAGAGACAGTATTTAAAACATGCTATCAGAACAATATGGCACGACCTTACTTGAACAGGATCTGTTCTTTAGGCTCAGATACCTCTGTATCCTAAAGTTCTAAGGAGACAGGAAACCAAGTCTGGTGGATGAAACATGACCGTGTGATCAGAGCGTGATTAACAGCTCTCTGATCCTTGTGCTGGATTATTAGGGCAGCAGAGGATCGTTCTCAACAGGTCTCTGTTGGGGGGATGGTTACACGGTTGTCTGACAGACTCCAAACCCCTCTTTTTTGGCCTTTCTGTTTTGAATCAGCTGTCATGATTCTGCAACTGGATGAAGATTGGTGCTCTGAATTGAAGCAACTGAACTGGGTGACTGGTTTTAGCGTTATAACCCATACCCAAGTGAAACTATGGAATGAGCATTGATTTGTTGGAGTGTTTTAAGCTCTTTTCATGACGGCAGAACCGAGGAGGAGGAGGGACTGGTGGCTCTGAAGTGGTGTGCATGGGTTTTCCATATCTGACCATCCGAGGCTATAAACCCAGTAACCCAGGCCTCGGATGTTCACCCTTCAATTTGTCTGAACATTCAAGGCCTGGGAATAGGAGGGAGAAGGAATGCAAAAGAAATAAAATTATTATTATTATTGGGTTTTTCGAACTGCTCGAAGAAATAAACAGACCGACCGAGAATAAAGAGTAAAACTTGCGGGTAAGCAAAAGTGTCAGAGAAACTATATTGAATTGCAAAATTTCTGATAGAGATTTCCCCTGGCATTTTTTAGGACATGAGAGATAAAATTGCTGCACAGGAGAGAAAATTGATCATTTTTTATGTTTCCTCAATCCACAGTTCCAGGGCGTAGAAGGCGGGTTTGACATGGTTTCCATTCTTTCTGCTTCAAATCAATCAGCCTTAGTCTCATACAGATCATATCTCAAAGCAATGGGAGAAGCAGGCGCATTAAGCTGGGGGCGTTGGCCATGGCTGAGATTTTCATTGCAGTCCACGATAGGGATGTCATGAGCAGAGGTGAGAACAAGGAACCAGAGACAAACAGAAGAATTAACTGAGCAAGCCACACATAAATGGCCCTCCTTGCGGATATCAAACATACTTAACCATGTATATGATCAGTTCTATTTCCCTGCCCACTCCTAAAATCCCATATTCATCAGTTCTAAAGAGGAAGGGAAAAAATAACAGGGCAAATAAATTGTCCCAAAAGAAAGAAATCGAGGAAACCACACATATACCATCCAAACATTTTATTATAAGCATGCGATAAAAATTACTGAATTTTATATTGCCACAAGTACAAACTCCAAGCAAGAGAGTATCTGTATTGTCACCAAATCATCCATCTATATCAATTGAAAAGTAATATCAGAAAATAACAAAAACTTCAACAGCAGCGCTACAATTAGTGCCTGCCGGAGCAGCAACTGGAGCTTTTAGTGTTCAACTGAAATAAAAACATGCAAAGCGCAGATAGGAACTATCAAAGGATATTAACAAGTAAGAAGAATAACTTTACCAGAAATAAGAATAGATCCAATTACTGCATCTCAGCTTCATTTCAGTATTTCAATCAATTAAATAATAGAGACCTAATTTTGTCATTCGATCATTTTCTCTTGTACACACCCTAGTAACAGTCGTGCATAAGCAAGTAGGGAGCCTTGAAATAGACTAGGCTTCCTATGCGACAATAATATACCTCGAAATGTAAAGGAAAACATGACTCCAGAATACACATCTTCCAACAAGTTAATCAGATGTATACAACACCGGCACAGTGATGCCGAAAATGGTGTCTGCCGAATCCTACTTGCATCAAAACAAAACATTTACAGGGTTTAAACACAATCCACTACCTTTCATTCGGTTATAACTTATTGAAGTATAAATACTTAAGTTACACCCTCTCTAAGAGCTTAAGCTTTCGGATTAAGCTTTTGGAGTAGAAGGTTGTTTAACATGGTATTAGACTAGGAGGTCCTTTGTTCGAATCTAACTGCCTCCCTAATCACTAAAAGAGTTTCCAAATGCTAGGCACAAAATGTAGCTTGCACATGAGGAGGTGTATTGAAGTATAAATACTTAAGTCACACTCTCTCTAACATCAAAGTACCACCTTTGTGCCACAATAGAACTTTGAGAAACCAGCCTGGACATGCCCAAATTGCTTCACAATAAAGTGCAAGCTGATGAATAAATTTGTTCCAGCTAATCAATAACCCAGTTTCAATTCAGCAATACAATTATCTTGTTGAGCACAGTTTCAGATCATAAGCAGCCAATAGAATCTAATCAATTGCATCATGTAGCACGAGAGAACCAACATCTTCAATCTATATCCACAAATGAAGAGCAATCAATGTGTTGGAGTGTAAGTTTACCCATGTATAACTCACCTATATGATCAGAACATAGGGGGACACACTTCAGATTCAAACTCTCATGAATTGCGCCCATCCCTGGAACCCACTTCTTTTCATCAAATGGGTTAAGGTTTAGATGATTTTGCAGTAATCGAATCCTATAAACAATAGTATCTGTTCTCTCACAGAAATGGGCCACACAGCGGTACGCAGGCTCGTCAGAAGCCAATCTAATCAAAGCCATTGTCAAAGCCCCATCCACAGGTTTTGGATCCGAAAGATTATTATCCCCCATCATCTTAATCTCCCTTTCAGTTGGAAAGTGAAATTCGTCAGCTCCATTCAAATCAGAGGCTTTCAGATCCTTTGTGTAATGTTTGATAGCCTCACGCTTGGTTGATTCATGCTTTTCTGCTAAAGTTAAGATACAAGAGAACCTTAGGTGGTAAGTCACAACAGTTTTTACCATTTTGAAGTTGTGACAGCAGCAAAAGAAATCAAGCCATCTTCTTCCTACACCAGCATACCACTTGATGATATCAGTATCTTCAACAGTCATGAGCAAATTGATTGGCCTAGGACGACCCATATGATTGGTGAATCCAGCCATCTTAACTGCCTTCCTAACAAGTTCTATGGGTGCATCAACTTTTATACGTAGCTTTGTCAAATCTTCAACTGTTCTTTCAGCATATTTTCGTTCCTCTTCTTCTTCTGCTCTCCTCTCTTCCTCCTCCAATACCTTTCTAGCTTTCACTGGCTTCAAATACTTGTCAACTTGCTCTTGAAAGTTATCATAAGCATCAACAAGCTCTTGAGGCAGCTGATCTCTAATCCTTTTCAAAGAGAGAAAATCACCCGCAGAGAGCTTCCGGTGCCATTCTTGACGAGCTTCAATAGATCCAATAAATTCTTGCACTACTTCATCAGCCCAAGTTCGAAAAATTTCTCTAACTTCCTTCTCAATTTGGAACTCAAATTTGAACCCATTACTCCGCTTCAACTTCTTAAGAACATGACTAAATATTTTCATCCCTAGTTTCTTCCTATTAGTCTCTCTAGCATTTCTCAATTCTTGAGCTCTAACTTCTTTCTGTCTCAGGTACTTTTTCCGAGCCCTAATTGCCTTTTCAGACATGCACGGATGCAAAACAGAAGGCGTAACCGCCTGAAGTTCCATTCCCAAAAAATCAATCTTCTCGGAAACCGCACTATGAATGACTGTTTTCAACCTATCGACCCTTAATTCCAAATTCTTCTCCAAACACTCCACAACCCGATTCTTCAAATCCATAGTTAACATTTTTGTCCCCGACGTGATCAAAAGTATCTCATCCAAATACCTAACCGCGTAAATCTTCAATGGCTTATGGAAAACACTACTAGACCCCGAACCAAAGTCATCCTTCTCAAATTTTGGATTCTCCCGATTCGTGCTAAGCCTCACTTCTTGAATTTCTTGATCAAAACTGCTAAAGTAAATATTAATCAAAATGGAACTCAACCCACATTCTTGAGGAAACCCCCTTCCTAAATAACAACCACCCAATTCAATTTTCACCACCTCAAATTGAAACAACCTCTTAATCATATCAATCAATACCTTATCTTTAATTTTATCTTCAATAACCAAGCACAATCTATCAACATGGTTAGTATCAAACTTTTCCCGACTGAATGAAACATTAAACCACCAATTGGGGTTCTCTACTGAGTTCTTTAGGTACCGAATCGCGGTGTGCCGGCCCATATTAACACGGCCACCATAACAAAATGTCACAAACCTATCATCATAGACACGTTCTAGTACTATTATAATAGCTTCGATGACTACTTTTAGCTTCAAATTGGGAAGTACAAGTGATTTACCTTTGTGGGTCGACAGCGAAATGGCAGCACAACATGATTCAATACTGAACTGATTTTCAGAGAGCTGGCTAGCGAGTTCTTCGAGTGAGAAGAATTGGGCTGAGACTGAGTCAAAAGTAAGTATCTCGGGCGAGTTGGGTACATCGTTTTTGCGGGGTTTGAGGTTGTGGCAGGCGGTGAGGAGGACGGAGGGTGAAGCGACGACGTTTTGGAGGAGGTTATGGAATTTTCCGTTGGAATAGTGAGAGAGGACTAGGGTTTTGAGTTCTGATTTGGTGAGGGGTTTTGTGGAATTTGTGTTTGGAGTGGGTGAAGAAGGGAGAGGGAGGGTAGAGAGGAGGTTGAGATGAGAGAGAATGGAAAACCTAGTGAGTGAGAATGTGGTGGTTCTTCTGAGGTTTAGGAGCATTGAAAACTATGATTGACAGAAGTGCAAGAACTCAAAGAGAATCCACTTATGAAACTACTTGTATGTCTTTGAGGTTTCGATACTTGCTGGTTTGTACTTTGTGTCTTGGAAAAATTGTGAAAAAGTAAATTTTTTTATATTTATTTGTGTAAAAATACTTCAATATAAAATATTTATGTATAAATACCTTTATGTGTAAATATTTGATAAAAATGTATATTTTTGCCGAATTGTAATTTTTTCCCTTACTAAATTACCCTTTTCCTTTATTAATTGGAGACAAATATGGTAGTTATATTAGGGATTCAATTTTCCTAATTATATATTATATCTTTTTTGAATTTTAAATTACTTATTCATGTGTGATTGACCAACTGTTTATTTAAACATTTCATACTGATTCCTCTATCATTCAAACCTCTTCCTCTATCACTCACTCCATTCTGTAACTGAATTTTTAAACATATTTCAGTTAGTTGCAATAGAAAAAGTGCATCAGGTATGTAGTCCATATGTTCCTTTTTTAAAAAAAAAAATCATTACGATCTCTTAATGTCAATCATGTTTATGTGAAGATAAATGTTAATGATAATGACTCAAATAGGGATGATCGTAATAATCAAGATGATGATTCTCATTCAGAGGATGATTTGCTGTCGTGCACGATAATGTCACAGTGCTACAAGACAATGTCACATTGGTACTAAAAAATGTCACATTTTTATAAACCAAATTCACACTACTACAAATCAACGTTACACTATTGCAAGTCAATATCACTGCATACATTGACATGACGTATGACACAATGTAATAATCAAAATGATGATTCTGATTCAAATAATGATTTGCTGCCTCGCACGATATTATCACAATACTACCAAACAGTATCACATTGGTACTAGAAATGTCACACTGTTACAAACCAATTTTATATTGCTACAAACCAATATCACACTACTACAAGTTAATGTCACACTACATACATTGACATGACGCATGTCACAATATATATGGCCGCTTTGTATTTTTTTTTTGGCAAATGATCGAACACTTGGTGTGCACATAGTACCAAGTACCAGAAGTAGAAAGGTAATTGACGGAAAAAAAGCAGATAAAATAAAAAACGTTGGGAGAAACACAACGATTTTCTTCTTCAGCAATGAATTTCGGTATAGTTGTCACCGTTTGATACCGATATTTCCCCTTATTCACAGTAAACCAATCAAAAAATTCATCACTTATTCAAAGGGATTTTCACATCCTATTCAGCGATCAACATGAAGTTTTGAATCAACGAAACTTAAGGAATCCCTTAAGTTTCGGTTATGATTGTTCATTCAAATTCCTTAAGAGAATTAAGAAAACAGGCTTCATCTCTCTCTCTCTCTCTCTTTCTAAAATTTATTCCTGGACTATATGCAGAGCCTATCTGGGATTGTTGATAGGTTTAAACTTCAAAGAGAGAAAGGGTGTCTGAATTAGAGAGAAGCAAGAAACCAGACATCACCATCTTTGTTTCTCTCTCTCTTTCTCTCTCTCTGTGGATTCTCACGTGGGTCTTTGGTATTTTTGATGGTTGAGATTTTCAGAGAGGAAAGGTTTCAAATACGTTAATGGTGGTGTTGGATTAGAAAAAGGGTGATAGTGTGAAGTTTGTTTTGGTGATCGCTATGTCAGATTGCAATTTTTTCCTTCCCTTTGAGGCGGTTGCTTTCTATGATGTTGAAGATGGAGGAATTGGTATGGACAATCATAACATCGAGAATAAGATCCCTTAAGTTTTAGTTGTGGAGGCAAAAATATAGGAATTAGTTTCATTTTACTGAATGGTGGTATTTTAGAGATTTGAGGTTGTGTACTTTTTGACTTATGTTTTTAAAAGTGGTACTTTATGCCCTATAATTTCTAAAAAGGGTACCGGCCCTCTTAATCTTTCGTAGTTGGTACCCCAACACAACTCGAAGAGTAAATTTAAACCAATTCAAAAAAAAAAGTAAAATTAAAATAATTCAATTTAATTAATAAATTTTTCACTAAAGCATATAATTGGTTCTAAAATATACTTCAAGGTGGGCTTTCCTTATTCACAAAAGAGATAACAGAGAGTCCTAGGATAACCTTTAGTAACTCCTTCATTTCTTACTCTATTATCCCTCGCTTCACTGCTTCCTCAATGCCCATCGACTTTTTGTTTACTATTTTTCCTTTTCGATTCTTATTTCTCAGGAGTGTTACACCTTCCAAACCTCCCAATGAACATCCTATACTTTACAGAGAAAAATCTACTTAGAAATTATACTTAGAAGGTGTAAAATCCTAAAATTATAGTCCTTAGCTAGACCACTTTTCTTCTTAGGCCCAATATATGCCAACTAATTAATGGATTTTCCTTGTATTCTCCACTTGTCCCCTAAAATTCTCCATAAGTTTTCTTTTGTTTTTCTAAGGGTCCTTTGGCGGGCGTCCCTTTTTGTAGACTTATTTGGATTTAAGTACATCCAAAAAATTTATTTGGAAATAATTCTATTTTGTCCAAAATACCCTTAATAGTTATATTTAATTAAAACTTGTTTGAAAAAACTAACTCCTAAATTGGGAATTATATTAATATTAACAACTCTTAACTTGAAATTGTGTTAGCATTAAAATTATGTTTCTATTATATATATATATATTAGTTATTTCTCGTGCCTAAAGACATGGAATAATAATAAAAAATAGTTAACAATAAACATATTTGTATTCACACCCAAAATCAAATTATAAAGATAGAAGAGAAATAAAAAAATTTAAGTATTAATTATAGTAAAGGCAAGCGGTGGTAATGATGGTGGGCAATAGTAGTGGTGGTGGGAGACAGTGATAGTTGTAATGGATGATGACAACCGATTATAATGATGGCAGTTATAGGTGATAATGGTGATGGTGGTTCAGTGAGTCGTGCGAGTGATGTGGTAAGGGTGATGTGATAAAGGTGATGGTGGGATAATGGCGGTGGTGGTGGTGGGATTACGATAGCGGAGGTTGTGGAGGCAGTGGTGGTGGTTGTTGTGGAAGATGTGATGGTGGGGTGATAGTAGTGATGGCAGTGACGGTGGTAATGGGGACAATGAGTGTGGTAGGGTGGCGACAGTGGTGGTGGTCAGGTGGTGGTGGTGGTAGGAGTAGTGATTGTGGTGGGGCTGGTAATAGTAGAGGTGTTAGTGGGTAGTGGGGCGGTTTTCAAACACAATTTTTTTTTAAGTATTTATGAAAAATTATACATAAAAATATTTTGAAAAAATTCACCTCAAACACACCTTTATAGTCCTATTTTTCATATTAAATTTGGAGTGTTAATATTAGCCGTCAGATTAAATTTACAGTAAAATTTAAAGAGATCTGAACCGCGAAAAACTTAAATCATTTAATTTATCTTTTGAAATTTGAATTGTATTGTACTTTATTATATATATAGTAACATTAAACAATAATATGTTCAACAAAAAAATAGCAACATCAAATACTAATATGCTCAATAAAAATTTAATCATTACAATAGAATGACACCTCCACAACAAAATAAATAATCACATATGGTGTCATTCTATTGCAATGATTAAATTTTTAATTAATTTTTTTATTAAGCATGTTACTGTTTAATATTACTATTTTTTTTGTTGACATGCTACTGTTTGATATTACTATTTTTTTGTTGTGCTAGCATTAAAAATAATTTTAATGTTAGCACAATTTTTAGGTTAGGAGTTGTTTTATTTGAAAACGTTGAAATTAACAATGATAGACAATATTTATGGTAAAAGTAATTATGGAATACATTTCAAAAAGAATTTGAAATGTTTTAAAATGTATCCTTATGGACAACTGTTTGATGAAAAAGATGACTTAATGGAGTATAAGTTTAAAGGTGATACTTAAAGCCAAATAAGTTCTTAAAAATATGCCTTCATCCAATTATTCGTTTTCCTAAAGCAAACCTTGATGCATGAAAGCTACTGTTAGAGGAGGAATGGAACATATTTGAATAGTGTTTGCAAGAATTCAGGTTGTTTTTGAAATTTTTATGCAATATCCCTCTACATTAGATCACCCGCTCGTGTATTGGTGGAATACAAATTTTTATACAGTGGGTCTTATCAAAATTTATGGTATGTAATCTACTATTACGAAAAATATAGAAAAAGTGCATTATCCAAAGCCTTTTTCCTAAGAATTCACAAGCAATGTTGCTTTGTTTCTTAAGAATTCACAAGCTAGTCTCTTTTGCCTTTATCAGAGCCTTCGTACCTTTGGGCCTAATTGTAGTGGGCATTGTTATTGGTACGAGCTGTAATCTCGTTGGCCTTCACACAAAATCATCTTCGGCCATACAAATGTATCTGTAGGATTAGGCTGAATCTTAGCGGAAGAAGAAGAGGCAGTTCACCGGCCACTACATTCGTGGATCCCACCAAATCATTAAATTGGGCGACTACTCGGTCTTTGATCAATGATCCACCAGCCACTAGATCAACGAAGAATCTCTAAAATCTGCTCTTTAATTCGTGATTCACCGACCACTAGATCAGGAATCCTACCTTTTCTATTTTAACTTCTCTCTTCTATATTTTATCTTCCTGTCTCTTTTTTTTCTCCACCTCTTTTTCTATCTAATCCCTCTCTTGTGTACTTTATCTTGTCTCCAGCTTCAAGTGCCTCGGCTTTGCTTCCTTGAGCTCCTTGGCAACACAATCACCCATATGACATAATGTTACAAATGCAAGGAGCACCAGAATTCTGTAGAAAAATCCTTTTTACCCCTCAAGTTTTTTGCAAAAGGTCAAGTTTTATTGTAAAATTGGATAATAATTTTTTTTGTCCAATATTTTTTTTTTGGCAATTTTAGTCGTGTAAACAATTCTATGTCACTATCCAAACTCTAATTGGACAATGAGAGAGATATGTTACTACCCAAATTCCAATTGTCTATGTCATGATCATACTTCTCTATATTTAGTTGTAATCGAAATTGTGTTTCATTGTTCATTC